ATTTTACAATCCACCAGCTGTGTATGAGGATTCCAGTTTCCCCACATCTTTGCCAACATTTGTTATTACCTATTTTTTTATGTTTTAATTTTATCCATCCTAGTGAGTTTGAAGTGGAATCTCATTGTGCTTTTTTTTTTTTTTTTTTTTTTTTTTGGTGGTGGTGGTACTAGGGATTGAACCCAGGGGCACTGTACCACTGAGCCACATCCTCAAACATTTTTATTTTGATACAGGGTCTTGCTAAGTTAGCCAGTTATGGCCTCATACCTGTGAACCTTCTGCCTCAACTTTAGGAGTACCTTGGATTACAGGTATAATGCTTGGCTTCATTGTGCTTTATTTTATTTATTTTTATGTGATGCTGAGGATTGAACCCAGTTCCTCACATATGCAAGGCAAGTGCTCTACCACTAAGCCATAACCCCAGCCCTTCATTGCACTTTTGATTTGCATTTTGTCAATGGTTTTGTAAGCTGAATTTGAAATCACAGTCATCTGTCCAATTTTCATTCTCACCAATATGAAGACTCTGGAGGACTTAAAAGTCTCCGCTCACTCTTCATTCCCCTGACAACTGCACAGTGATGCCCTCTTCATTGTCATTATGGCTAGTACCCTATCATTTAAGGCTTCTTGAATACAGTTGGGCTCTGGACACTGTGTGGGTGCTGTGGATACAGCAAAAAAGCAAGATTTCGATTCTTAGATGATGGGTAAGGATGTGGTCCAAGATTCCAATCCTAACTTTCTCACCTTCCAGCCATGACCTTGTGTGAGGTACCTGACCTTGCCCATCTCCAGTTTCTTTGTCTATGAAATAAGGTTGTGCTGGATGCAGTAGCACATGTCTGGAATCCTAGCCGTTCAGAAGACTGAGGCAGGAGGATTGCAGGTTTCAGGCCACCTGAGTATTTTATTATATTTGGTACTGGGGGTTGAACCAAGGGATGCTTTACTGCTGAGCTATACTCCCGGTCCTTTTTATTGTGATATAGAGTCTCATTAAGTTGCTTAGGACCTAACTAAATTTCTGTGGCCAGTCTCAAACTTGGGATCCTCCTACCTCAGCCTCCTGAGTCACTGGGAATATAAATGTGCACCACTGTGCCTGGCCAGCCTGAGAAATTTAGTGGGACACTGTCTCAATGAGAAATTAAAAAGGGCTGGGGCCGGGTGTGGTGGTGCACACCTGTGATCTCACAGACATGGGAGGCTGAGGCAGGAGGATCGCCAAGTACAAGGCCAGCTTGAGCAATTCAGTGAGATTCATTCTCAAAAAATAAAAAGGATTGGGGGATGGTAAAATGCCCCCCGGGTTCAATCCCCAGTACCATAAAATAAAAACAGGGGCACTCAACCACTGAGCCACATCCCCAGCCCCATTTTGAATTTTATTTAGAGACAGGGTATCAAAGAAATGAATTCATAATCCTCCTGCCTCAGGCTTCTGAGCCACAGGGATTGCAGGTGTGCGCCTCCAGGTGGATTCTGAGCCAGTGGGATTACAGGTGTGTGCCTCCAGGTGGATTCTCAGCCACTGGGATTACAGGGGTATGACACCGGGTGGATTGCGGGAGTGCGCTCAGCGCCTTTTTAAATTATTTTTTTAAGTTGTTGATGGACCTTTATTTTATTTGCTTATTTAGATGGGGTGGGAATCTAATTCAGTACCATACACGTACGAGGCAAGCACTCTACCCTTGCCCCTACCGTGCTCCTTTGTAACGGAGCTCTTCAAGCGCTGGGAGGAGAACCATATAATAGAGTGGGGTGCGGGTCTAGAGTGAAGGAGGGAGACCAGTTTGGAGGTGGCTGTAGTCTCACAGCGGAGAGAAGATAGTGATTTGAATTAGACAGAAGGACACATTTTCGAGATAAAGCCAGGGCAAAGAGTTGAGAGTGAGGGAGAGGAAAGAGTCCAAGGGCTCCTCGGATGGTGACTGTGTCCTTGAGCCCCAGAATTGAGCCCGGAGCAGAGCAGGGCAATGAATGTGGTCCTACATGTTGGCCTCTCTGTCTCCACCTGCTGGCTGGTGCTAAAAGTGCCCTTAAGAGGGAAAAAACTCAGAAACTGTAGGGGTCCTAAGGCTGGAGGAAAGTCCCCAGACGGTGAGAAAGTTCCCCTACACTGTTGGCACAATAAGTGAGGCCGCATTCCCGGGGACATCTATGGGGCTGGGAGTCTCCCCTCCCTGGAGCAGGTCACAGGAGCTTTCTCTCCCCTGTTGATGTATTCATTAGGACTCAGTTATGAGCCACATGTCTGCAGGAAGGCACGTGGAGGTGGGGGGAAAGGGCAGAAGGTAGATGTCAGTGTAGTGGGGCAACAGTCCCTTTCTCCAGAACAGCTTCCACCCAAGGCAAGGCCCCAGCACCCAAGGGCTGCCTTGGATTTTCCCCCTCACACCTGGGGCTTCCGAACCAGACAGACAGCGGCGGCGGGGGAGGGGAGGGACCGTGGGGGGCGGGGCGAGTCTCCCTAGAGCAGGGTGTGGCCAGGGGTCCAGATGGTCAGTCTGTGCTGGCCAGCCGGTCCTCACCCGGGAGGGTAAAATCCGCATTCCCCAGCTTGGCTAGCCAGGCGGGCTGAGGGTGACCGTAGGTAGCACTGGAGCTGGAGCTCGGAGCTCGGACTGGGTGGGTGGTTCCTGCTGCTCCGCCGCTGTCACCGCCAGCCGCCCCTCCCGTCTTCACTTCCTCTCGGAGCCCCCGCCGCCCCAGAGACTCGGGGATCCCAGCTGCCGCTGCCAGCCGACGCCACGCCCTGGCTTCAGCCTGCGGGGTAAGTTGGTGGGCAATTCCGGGGGGAGGTAGGAGGGGATCGGCCCCAAGCCTGACAATGAACCACGGAGGTGGGGAAGCCAGTCTGCAGCCAGGGTCTGTAGGGGGGTCCCTCTCCGTGGACCTCCAAACCTCTGCCTCTGCTGCCAGTGTGTATGGGGTCCCAGGAGGGTCCCATGGTAGAAGAAAAGTGAAATGGGGCTGGACAGACAGCTGTTGCAGCTTGGGCTGAGGAATAGTGGGTTCTATGAGCCAGGATGGGTTTGGGGTCATAAGCTCTAGGCTGCTTGGTTTGTGGCTCGAGTAAGACGCTGGTGTGGGCAGAAAGATGGAGGCTCAAACTGCAAGTGGAGGCTGCCAGACAGGCCCTGGCCTTCCCTGGCTACTCTGTGGAAAAGCCCCATTCAGGTCCTAGAAGGCACTGGGAGCCCAAAGCTGTCTGGGAGTGGGCCCAGGCCCTGCAAGCAGCAGCTGCGTCCCCTGTCCCCTTCCCTTCTGGGCCCTCCTCTTCTGTGCTTCCTCTTGGCGGCCTCCTACCCACTTCTCTCACTTCTTGCTGTCTTCTTCGGACCCAGCTCTGATTCTTTTCCCTTCTTTCTACTTCTGCCCACTGGGGATCAGGGGCTCCGGGACCCTAACTGGCACCCCGGTTCTCGCCATGTGATAGAGGCTGTGGTTTCAGTTTTCCTGTGAGGGTGACATGACTGTTGTCAGCTGATCTCCCTAAGCCCAGCCCAGTTGGGAAGGCAGAAGGCGGCTGCTCAGCCAAGGAGGGGCTTTCTGCCCCATTCTGAAGCCCCTGGAGAGATGACATTTTCATGCCCCAGACATGAGTCAAATTGAAAACATAGATGGACCCTGAGAGAATCTGAGAACGGAAGAGGAACTTCATGGTAGAGAGTGAGATGGTTTTAGACCTGGTTCTGCTAATCACTGATGGCCCTGAGAAAGCCACTTCCCCCTCTGACCCTCAGTTTCCCTGGGAACAAATTAGGGGCTGGATGGAACGGTGGCTTTCCACTTGGTTTCCTTAGATCTCTTCCCTTCTGTGGTGAGGAATTGGGTGTTCTGCTCCATCCCAGAAGCTTCAGTTTTATCTGTGGTGAATATTGTCCGCCAGTAAGATGTTGGGTAAAAGAAAGGGTTGTGGCCTCTCAGATGTTAGGAAGTCCCAGAGGGAAGTTGGCAACAGCCATGGCTCTTTTTGTGGGACTGCATCAAAGAGGTGGCCATGTTGAGTCCCTGGGCCATCCTTACACCCCAGGGCTCCTCACTCCTCTTGGGCTCTTCCCTTCTCCTTTCCCACTCACTCACTTCCCCTCCTACAGGGCTGGGATCCTGTATTGTACATCTACAGTCTTTCAACTTCTAAACCTCTTCTTCTGCAGGCTCCAACCAGACTAACCCAGAACTGGGCTTCAAGGAAGAAGGGACCCCTGACATCTCCATCTCCACAGAAGTTCCAATTGGTCTGAGCAGCCTCCTTCCTTCAGGATGACCTCGCCCTCCAGCCCTCCAGCTTTCAGGCTAGAGACATCAGATCAAAACCAAGAAGATGGTGCTGAGGTGGACAGAGGAAAGCATGGGCCTCCCCCCATGGAGTCACCGTTCCAGGGCGAGGACCGGAACTTCTCCCCTCAGATAAAAGTGAACCTCAACTATCGAAAGGGACTGGGTCCTAGGTGAGGCCACAGATGCAGATGGGGCAAAGGGCCCCCCACTCTGCTTCTGCAGAGCACCCCAATTAGGCTTAGTAGCCTGCCCAGCACGGTGCCTCTTCTGTACGGCTTAGCTGTATGGCTGCTGGGCCCCAGAGGGGGACCTTCACTCTGTTCTCTGGGGTTTGTCATTCCCACCACCCTTCCTTCTCCTATTCACCAACCCCCCCCCTTTTTTTTGGTATCAGGGATTGAACCCAGAGGTTCAGTCTACCGCCAAGCTAGATCCCCAGCCCTTTTATTTATTTATTTATTTTTGTGCTGCCAAGGATTGAACACAGTGCCTTGTGCATGCAAGGCAAGTACTCTACCAACTGAGCTATATGCCCAGCCCCATTTTTTTTTAAATTTATTTTTTAGTTGTAGTTGGACACAGTACCTTTATTTTATTTATTTTTATGTGGTGCTGAAGATTGAACCCAGGGCCTCGCATGTGCTAGGTGAGCACTCTACCACTGAGCCACAATCCCAGTCCCCCTACTTTTTGTTTTGAGACAGGGTCTGGCTAAGTTGATGAGGCTGGTCTCAAACTTGTGATCCTCCTGCCTCAGCCTCCCAAGTCGCTGGGATTACAAGCATGCACCACCACACCTGGCTACCTTCTTAATTCTTGGTCTTCTGCTCTCTGAAGTTATCTTTTTCTTCATAGGGACACATTCTTCCAGCTCTAAAGTACTTAACCTAGCTATAAAATCCTCCAACCCTGTCATGGAACCTGTGGGATATATTAGGATCTCCATATAGACTCCATCCAGGGACAGAGGCAAGGATATCTGCAAGTGTCCCAAGCAATTCTTGGTTCTGTCCCAAAGGATGAAACTGTCTCCAGGGGATGTGGACCTAGGGGACTGAGGATGATGAGTTTCTGTGCTTTGATTTTCCTGTGGTCTCTCTGCTAGTTAGACTATAAGTCCAGGGGTCCTGCTTTCAGTCCTGCTAGGAGTCAAAGGAAGCTGCACCTGGCATAAGTTTTACCCCATGAGGCTGGAAAATCCACATGGGCTGGGCAAGACTGCCAGGGAAACCCCTTCCTCCCTCTTCATGCCTGAGGTGTGGCCATCAGCCTTGTGCTGTTTGTGCTGGAGGACCGTGATCCAATTCAGCACCAGGAGAGGATACCTGGGACAGTTTCATCCTTCTGGAAGTAGTATTGCTAGCCTGATAGAGATAGAATGGGCCCTGCAATGTCCTCTGGATCCTCAATTTATGCCCTCTGAGCTTCCCTACCCTGTGATGCTACTCTGGTGGCAGAAAGTGTCCAAAGGGTCACTTTTGCCAGCCAGACTGCTCATCCTACTCTCAAGCCAGCCGTGGAGTCATTATAGCCATGTTGTGGCCATGTGATCTGCTGGGGGAATGATAGACATGGGACCAGGATGAGGCAGACTGCAGCTTCCTGGTGTTGAGGAGGCCGAGGCTGGTTCTAATACCATCGTGACAGATTCTAACAATCATCTTATTCATCAGAGAATCATCAACCCTTATGTGGTTTGACTCATTCCAGGAGATGGTAAGCTGTGGCCTGAGGGTTCCCAAAGCATCAAGTAGCCCTTTGTACGTTGGTTATCACTTCATATCTCCCAATCATGGTTTCAGGCCTCAGAGATATAAATATGGACATGGCCCCATGCCCTTTCCCCTTCTCCATCTACTAGATTCTAATGAAGTAGGAAGTTCCTTCTGGGGAAGGTAGGAGAGATTTCCCAGAAGTGTAGTTTCTCAGTAAAACTCTGGTCAGTGACTGATACATTTGCAGGGCTGGGTCCGTGTGTTACTCTGACTATCTCTGGGAAACCTCCTGCTAACTAAACTCTCTTTGGGGTCCAGAATCTGAAACTAATATTAGATAACCCCCTGTGAGAGACTTGGCTCTGCACTCTTATCACTTTGGGCAAGTTCCTTCACCTCCTTGTTTGTCTCATGGAGAAAAGAGTGAGTCCTAGAAACTTTCCCATTTTTCTTTCTTTTCTTTTTAACTGATAGGCCTGGAATAGGGATTAAAAATGCAGAGTACTCTATTATTTTTTAAAGAGAGAGAGAGGAGAGAATTTTATTTTTAATATTTATTTTTCAGTTCTCGCGGACACAACATCTTTGTTGGTATGTGGTGCTAAGGATCGAACCCAGGCCACACGCACCCCAGGGGAGCGCGCTACCAGTTGAGCCACATCCCCAGCCCACAGAGTACTCTAAAATCAATCAATATGTAGTTTCTGAGAGGAAGAGGGAGATTTTCTCCATTCCTTCTTCATTTTTATTTTGCGGTGCTGGGGATGGAATCTGGGGCCTTATGCATGCTAGGCAAGCACTCCATCACTGAACCACATCCCCAGATGTTTCTTCCTCAAGGTCACTCGTGCATGAAGCCACCATCAGTCTTTTTTTTTTTTTTTTTAAAGAAAGAGTGAGAGAGGAGATAGAGAGAGAGAGAATTTTTTTAATATTTATTTTCTAGTTCTTGGCGGACACAACATCTTTGTTGGTATGTGGTGCTGAGGATCGAACCCGGGCCGCACGCATGCCAGGCAAGGCGCGCTACCGCTTGAGCCACATCCCCAGCCCGCCACCATCAGTCTTTAGGTGCCTCCTGAGACCCTGTCCAGAACTGTATAAAAGTTCTAGACTATAAGTTGTGGGCACCAAAAGATTCTGTAGGATAATGACTCTGAAACATGAGTGTTCCTGGCCTATGATACACAGTTGATGCTGAAATTATCAGTGATGATTAGGGAGTCTTGGGGATGCAACAGATTAATGCCCCAACAGCAACCCCCTTCCTGTGACTCTGAGCCATTGGGGTCACCTGGGTCTGCCTTAGAAGGCAGAGGCCCTCAGAAGGGATCCCGTTCAACCTGGGGTGAGCAGTGCTTACAGGACTCCCTGGGATGGGGGTATTTCTGGTGGAGGGGAAATGGCCCTTCTCCAGGAAGAATCATAAACTACCTCCCCCACAGCCAGCCAGACCCAAACCGCTTTGACCGTGATCGACTCTTCAGCGTGGTCACCCGAGGTGCCCCTGAAGACCTGGCTGGGCTACAAGAATACCTGAACCGGACCAGCAAGTACCTCACTGACTCGGAATACACAGGTAGATCCTGCCCTGTGGCCACCTTTGGGCTCTGGTGTCCTGTGGGCTGAGAGCTGGGCTGAACGAGTGTGCCTGCACCATGATCAGGATCAGAGAGGGGAGTATTCTCCACAGCTCTCTGCTGAGGGCCTTGCAAATAGAACTGACTGGAGACAGGCCCCTATACAGTCCTGGCCATACCTCCTGCCTTCACCCTACCCCACCAGGCTCCCAACCTGTCTTTGCCACTCAAGTCCATTTCAGTGGCTAAGTGGCTACTCAAAGCTCTTGCTCTTGCTTTCTCTCTCTCTGTTTAAAAGAGCAGCATTATTGAGATATATAATATACATATCGTATTCTTCCCCTGCTGCAGAGCATCTTTGCTCAGAGTCTGAATATCTTCATTTTTTGGACTGATTAGAAAAATAGCATATGTACACTCTAGAAGATTAGAACAGTAAGGAAATTTATGAAGTCAAGGGTAAAACCAGTTTGTCATTCTGGGCCCCCATTACTGGCTTGCAGCATATCTTTTCAGACTTTCTTAGAATGCCAGGCATATATTTATATAATTGGGGCATTGTCATATGTGATAATTTGTAATGTGTTCCCTGCATACTTAATGCATCTTATATGTCTGGTAGCACTTTCCATTTCAGTACATCCCTCAGTCTGATGACTGAAGATTGAGTTTTCCATTGTGTAGATTTACCACAATTTAGTTAACTAATTAAAAGAAGTTGGGCCTGGGGATGTGGCTCAAGTGGTAGCGCACTCGCCTGGCATGTGTGTGGCCCAGGTTAGATCCTCAGCGCCACATACAAAAAAGATGTTGTTGTGTCCGCCAAAAACTAAAAAATAAATATTAAAATTTAAAAAATTTTTAGTTGTAGATGGACACAATACCTTCATTTATTTATTTATTTATTTTAATGTGGTGCTGAGGTTCAAAACCAGTGTCTCGCTGAGCTACAGCTGCAGCCTCTTAACTCATTTCTTTTTGTTGGCTATTTAGATCATTTATAGTTTTTTTTTTTTTAACCTCAATTTCCAGTGTGCCAGGCCCTCTGGTGCTAAGCATTTTGTTTATATTATTCCTTTGGGTCTTTACAATAACCCCCAAATATCCCCATTTTTCAAAGAGGAAAACTGAGGTTAAGAGAGGCCAAATGACTTGCTGGAGGAAACAGAGTTATTAAGTGGAGGGGATCACCTACAAATTCTGCTCTGAATGTTCTCATGGATAGACTATGTTGCATTTGTGATGAGTTATGTCTTAGAAACTTTGTTTTCAGAAATTTTTTTTTCATTTTTTTTTTAAAGAGAGAGAGAGAGAATTTTTAAATATTTATTTTTTAGTTTTCGGTGGATACAACATGTTTATTTTATTTTTATGTGGTGCTGAGGATAAAACCCAGCACCCCGAGGCGAGCGCATTACCACTCGAGCCACATCCCCAGCCTTTCAGAAATTTTTGTTATACCTGTTGATTTTAATATCTGTTGCCTGGAGGGTTTTTTTTTTTTTGACCCAGGATTGAACCCAGGGGTGCTTAACTACTGAATCACATCCCCAGCCCTTTATATATATATATTTTTGAGAACGTGTCTTGCTAAGTTGCTTAGGGCCTCTCCAAGTTGCTGAGGCTGGCTTTGAACTTGTGATCTTCCTGCCTTAGCCTCTGGAGCTGCTGGGATTATAGGTGTATGCCACCATGCCTGGCTTGTTTGGAGTCTTAATACTCTGCTACATAACCATGCTCCCACCAGTAGTATACAGAAATAATCTTTTTTTATCCTCCCATGGGATACTTTGGAGCCTGGGCTTGCTGCACATTGGCAGGCAGCCCAGTTGCTCCGGTTCTGAGCACTGTGTGCCCCTTCCACTCCCTTTTTCCCACAGAGGGCTCCACAGGGAAGACATGTCTGATGAAGGCGGTGCTGAACCTTCAGGATGGAGTCAATGCCTGCATCCTTCCATTGTTGCAAATCGATAGAGACTCTGGCAATCCGCAGCCCCTGGTTAATGCCCAGTGCACGGATGAGTACTACCGAGGCCACAGTGCCCTGCATATTGCCATTGAGAAGAGGAGCCTGCAATGTGTGAAGCTCCTGGTGGAGAATGGGGCAGATGTGCATGCCCGTGCCTGTGGCCACTTCTTCCAGAAGAGACAGGGAACTTGCTTCTATTTTGGTGAGTGAACATTTCTTGGATACATTGAGGTATGGAGGAGGCAAGTCCTTGTTCAAGTTCACACAGTTAGTGTGTGGCAGAACTGGACTTAAACCCACATGTGTCTGACCCTGATACCCTTCTTCAAACCACTAGGCTGCCTGCAAAAGCAAGGTGTCTTAAGAAATGTGTTTTTTTTTTTTTTTTAGAGAGAGAGAATTATATTTATTTTTTAGTTTTCGGTGGACACAACATCTTTGTTTGTATGTGGTGCTGAGGATCGAACCTGGGCTGCATACATGCTAGGCCAGCACGCTACCGCTTGAGCCACATCCCCAGCCCTTAAGTTATGTTGTATCCTCATATAGTTGAGGAGGAGGCTCAGCATGCATCAAGCCCAGGCAGGGAGGAAGGGGGATGCTAGCATTGGCCTGTGTCAAGACTTGACTGAGGAATCTGGAGATGTAGCTCCGTGGTAGAGTGCGTGCCTAGAACACAATAAGGCTGTGGGTTTGATCCCAAGCACTGCCAAAAAAAAAAAAAAAAATGGATTTTATCAGTCTGAATTAAAGGACAATGTTCTGGGTTCTTGAAAAGAATAGGCAGGGGAGAGAGGACCTTGGTTGAGTGGCCTCTGTTTTATTCCCTTATATGGTAATGAAGCCTGACCTGATTCAAGGAGGCCTGACCTTTTGTCCAAAGAGCAGGAGGAATGGAAGCTGAGAGGCCTGAGGCCCAAGCTGACCCCTTCCCTATCCACAGGTGAGCTGCCTCTATCTCTGGCTGCTTGTACTAAGCAATGGGATGTGGTGACTTATCTCCTGGAGAATCCGCACCAGCGTGCTAGCCTGCAGGCCGCTGACTCCTTGGGGAACACAGCCCTCCATGCCCTGGTGATGATTGCAGACAACTCTAAAGAGAACAGCGCACTGGTGATCCACATGTATGATGATCTTCTTCAAGCAGGAGCCCGCCTCTGCCCCACTGTGCAGCTTGAAGACATTTGCAACTTGGAGGGCCTCACACCCTTGAAGTTGGCTGCCAAGGAGGGTAAAATTGAGGTAAGCTGCTGTCCCCCTCCCTGTTGTCTCTCTCTTTCTTGGAAGCAGCAGGACTCAGCCAGAAACATCTGTGGAAAGAGCCTGAGTGGTAGACCAGAGCACTGGTCGTTCCACTTTTCAATGAAGCATTCCTATCCATAAGAAAAAATTTCAGGTTGAACCTTAGTGTTAGTTTATTGTCACTGTGACAAAATGCCTGAGAGAATTACCTTAAAAAGTAGAAAGATTTATTTTGGTTCACAGTTTCAGAAGTCTCAGACTATGGTCCCTTGGCCCTGTTACTTTGAGAAAGGCAAAACATCATGGCAGAAAGCATATGATGGAGCAAAGCTGCTCATCTCATGGTGATGTGAGAAGCAAGGAGAGGGGAGGAACCAGGAATCCAGAATCCCTTGCAAGGGCTTACAGTAACCTTCTTCTTCTCTGTAGGCTCCACCTTCCAAAATATCGACCACTTCCCAATAGCACCACCTGCTGGTGACAAAACCTTTAACACAGGAAACATCGGGGACATTTCTTAAATGTCAAATTTATGCCAAATCAAAACAACCTTCAATGTGTGTGTTTATTTATACATTATAAGCATACCAGTCAGTCAATAAATTGTGTTGTAAAACATAGGGGAATATTTTTAGTTGTTTGTATTTCTTTCTTTCTTTTTCTTTTCTGTTGAAGTACTGGGGTCTTTTTTCAGATGCTAGGCAAATATTCTACCACAATACCCCCGGCCCTGAGTTTCTTTTCTTTTGGGACCAGCGATTGAACCCAAGGGAGAAACGGTCTTGCTAAGTTTCTCAGGGCCTCACTGAGTTGTTGAGGCTGGCTTTGAACATACGATCCTCCTGCCTCAGCCTCCCAAGCCTCTGGGATTATAGGCGTGAATCACTGCACCCACCTCCCAACTCTGGGTTTCTTACTAGGAGACAGTCTTTTGATATCCTTTGCCTCCTTTGTTATTAGATTTACTATTATATTTTCTTCATATTGATTGGTAACCATTCTTTATAATGGACTTAGTATTTTGTCTATTACAGTGCTTGCAATTTTTCCTCCCATATTTTTTTTTTTTAAAAATTTTGGAGTTGTAAATGGACATCATGTCTTTATTTTATTTGCATTTTTTTGTTTGTTTATAGCAAACTTTATTCATAACTGCCAAAACTTGGAAGCAACCAAGGTGTCTGTCGGTAACTGAATGAATACATGAACTGTGATATATCTTGAGAATGGATATACTCAGCACTAAAAAAATAATCCATGAAGACAACGAAGAGACCTTAAATACAGATTTCAGATTATTTTAAAATACATGTGTATGATTCTAAATATAAAGCATCCTAGAAAGGGCAAAGTTATGACAGTAAAAAGATCTGATTTATAGAGGCTTGGCGGGAGGAAAAAACAGGTAGAACTGAGGGAAGGAGCATAAGGTCCGTGAAGCAATCCATGAATTATCATGCAGAATGTTGGATACACGTCAAACCTTAGTCAGTGGCCAGTGTGGTGGGGGCCAAAATCCCAACTACTTGGGAGACTGAGGTAGGAGCATTGCAAATCCAAAGCTGGCTTTGGCAACCTTTTTTTTTGGGGGGGGGCGGGGGTTACCAGGGATGCTTTAGCACTGTGCCATGCCCTCAGTCTTTTTATTCTTAGACAGGGTCTTGCTAAGCTGTTGAGACTGACCTCAAATTTGCAGTCCTCTTGACCTAGCCTCCCAAGTCTCTAGGATTACAAATGTGTATCTCCAACCCTCAACCAGTCTCAGCAATTTAGTGAGACCCTATACCAAAATAAAAGATAAAAAGGGCTGTGGATATAGATTAGTAGTAGTGTTTTCCTGGTTCAATCCCCAGTAACACACACCACACACACACACACACACACACACACACACGGATCAAAATCATAAGATGTTCAACAAAAAGCATGAAACCAAATATACAACTGGGGTGTAGCTCAGTGGTAGAGTGCTTGACTACACGTGTGAGGCCCTGGGTTCGATCCTCAGTGCCACATAAAGATAATAATTCATTATAATTACAGATAATAACTCATTATAATTAGTTAATAATTAATAAAAGGCCAGGCTTGGTGGCATATGCCTGTAATCCCAGTGGCTCAGGAGACAGAGGCAAGAGGATCTCAAGTTCAAAGTCAGCCTCAGCAATTTAGCAAGGTGCTAAGCAACTCATGAGGCCCTGTCTCTAAATAAAATACAAAAATAGGGCTGGGGAGGTGGCTCAGTGGTTGAATGCCCCTGAATTCAAACCCTGGTACCCCACCCCCCACCAAAATTAATAATATACCAATACTGACTCATCAATTAAGGAATGTACCACACTAATAGGACATGTTAATATTAAAGCAGGTGCAATAATGCACACCTGTATCTCAGCTACTTAGAGGAGGCTAAGGCAGGATTGCAAGATCAAGGGCAGTCTCAGCAATTTAGTGAGACCCTGTCTTAAAATAAAAATAAAAAGGGGCTAGTTTTGCTGGCAGTAGTGGTGCATGCCTATAACCCCACGATTCAGGAGGCTGAGGCAGGAGGATTGCAAGTTCAAAGCCAGCCTCAGCAACTTAGCGAGACCCTAAGTAACTTTGGGAGAACTTGTCTCAAAATTAAAAGGGCTGGGGATGTGACTCAGTGGTTAAATCTCCAGTACCAAAAAACAAACAAACAAACAAAAAAAGAGGCAGAGAGTTAGGGTTATAGCCTAGTGGTAGAGTGTCCCTGGGTTCAATCTTCAGTAAACACACACACAAAATTAATATTAAACGCATCAACTGGAGAAGTATAAAAGAACTCTTTTGCTCGGTTTTCCCATAAACCTAGCTCTGCTTTAAAAAAAAAAGTATAGTAATACTTGAGTCTGACACAAATGATCAGGAGACACTGAAAATGAAAGACGGTCAGGAACCAGCCCAGCAATCATCAGGCTGTGTGATGATTTACCTATGGGCTCTCCATCATTTGTCCTGGGAGGGGGAAGAGGAATATTTGCAAATTTATGTCCTGTTTGGGGGCCAATAATAGGAAAGCAAAAAACTTTTTGTCTGTTTCTTCTCAATTGCCTTCAGATCAAAATAGTACTTTAACATTGCTTTTGGTCTCCTACAGTGCATTGCTTTTTCTCTCTTGTTATAATTAATCCTATCATCATCATCTTATTCCTTTTTACACATTCAGGGCATAACAGATTATCTTCTAGTCCCGAGGGTGGAAAAAATACAGGCTGGTAACAGGAAGAGGGAAATCATCCTCTTGGGAGTGTCAGGGACCCAAGTCTGACCTGCATGGAGCTGCAGGCGAACCCAGCCTGCTGTTTCTTCAGAAAGAAATTGGCCATGGACCACACACCACCTGACACCAGAGGTTTGCATCAAAAAGGCCTCCAGAGAAATAGAGTTGAGACACAAATTCACAGCCTTGTGCTGAGTGGCTCTGGCAGGGATCCTTGCCCAAGATGCCCATGTGGACTCCTGAGCTGAATTTACCACTTCAACCATGTTAGTCTCTTCCTCTCTTTTAACCTTATCACGATTTTCCTGAAGCCCTGCTGTTTTGGCCACTGCCTTCCATTTCCTGGAAACTGGCCTCCTGAGATGTTTCAGGAATATCATATCTTTGTTCAGGGTATGCATGCTTCTGTAGCCTCAAATAAATAAACCTCTATTTTCTGGCCCATCAGTACTCAAATTAAATTGTTGGCACCATTTTCGCAAAGTAACCCCGAGAAACCTTATTAATTGGAGGCAAAATGGTCGGCAAGGGAAGGGATGGTATTTTACAAGAGGCAGAGGGTTAGGGTTATAGCCTAGTGGTTATAGCCTGGGTAGGTTTTGTTTGAGGAAGGCAGACTTCGTGTTTGATTTCCGCAGTTGAAGAAACACTTGTTTCCCTTGGATATTCTTGTTCCTCTGTAACTGGGACCAGTGCTAAAATCACATTTTCCTCATCGAATTGCTCCTCAACCAAGTTCTTCTCAGTGACCCTGTTATTTGAGCCTGACATTTCCAGGAACACCGGGAGAAGGCAAAGGCAGCAGGGCTCAGGACAGCTCTGCCGTGTGCGCCTTCTTTTATTTACATTTTTAAAAATATTTGTTTTTTATTTGTAGTTGGACACAATACTTTATTTTATTTATTTTTATGTGGTGCTGAGGATCGAACCTAGGAGCCTCACACGTGCTCACTCTACCCACTGCGCCACTACCCCAGCCTTCATTTTTTTTTTTGGAAAAATTTATGGTGGGCTGGGGATGTAGCTCAGTTGGTAGAGTGCTTGCCTCACATGCACAAGGCCCTGGGTTCAATCCCAGCGTCAGAAAAAAAAAAAGTAGGGTCTGGGGTTATGGCTCAGCAGTAGAGTGCATCCCTAGCACGTGTGAGGCACTGGGTTTGATCCTCAGCACCATATGAAATAAAGAAATAGGTAAATAAATAAATAAATAAATGTATATAAAAAAAGAAAAAATTATGGTGTGTTTTTTGCCATCCAGAATGTAAGAGTTTTATATTTATAGCTGGGCATGTGGTACACACTTGTAGATCCGGCTACCTGGGAAGTGATGTGGGAGGATCACTTGAGCCCAGGTGTTAAAGATCCTGGGCAACATAGCAAGACCCAGTTTCAAAAAATAAAACAAGGGTTGGGATGTAACTCAGTGGTAGAGTACTTTCTTAGCATGCACAAGTGCACAAGGCCTTGGGTTCAATCCCTGATACCACAAAAAAATTATGTCTGCATGTATAATTAAGATTTTATTGAGTTTTACTATTGTATTGCTTAATTCCTTCCACAAGATTTTATGTATAATACGATTATTATATCATTATATTCTGTATATAATTATATAGATTGTTACAGGGAACTGTTACATAATTTTATATATTATAAAATAATAGTTGTATGTAAAAATTATATACAATAGCACATCCATATCTGCATTTTCTTTCAGACTTTTGCAGTTCCATTATTTTTATTTTTATTTTATTTTTTTGGTACTAGGGATTTAACTCAGGGGCAACTTACCACTAAGCTACATCCCCAGCTCCTTTTTATTTATTTATTTATTTATTTAAATAATTTTTTTTAGTTGCAAGTGGACATAATATCTTTTTTTAAAAAATTTTATTTATGTGGTACTGAAGATCAAACTCAGGGCCTCGTACATGTTAGATGAGTGCTTTACTGCTGAGCCACATCCCTTCATTTTTCATTTTGAGTCTTGGTCTCACTAAGTTGAATAGAGTCTCACTAAATTGCTGAGGCTGGCCTTGATTGTGATCCTTCTGTTTCAGCCTCCTAAACCACTGGCATTATAGGTGTGCACCACTGTGCACACCTGCAGTTCCATTTTAAATGCCTAAAATTTGATTTATCTAGATGATGATGATGATGATGATGATGATGATGATGATTATTATTATTTGGTAGAAGGAATAAGCATGATCCACCTCTCATTTTTTTCCCTTTCTTTCTTTCTTTCTTTTTTTTTTTTAGCTTATTAGTATTTGAACCTTATTGTCAAAGCCCTCACAACCTCTGCAGTTACACAGGGCCAACACTTAGAAAGTAGGCATTTTTTAAAGGTGAAGATAAAAACATCCTGATAAAAAATAAAAGGTGTGATTGTGCAGTCCTGTAATCCCAATGAGTCAGGAGGCTCGAAAGTTCAAAGCCAAGCCGGTGGCAGTGGTGCACATCTGTAATCCCAGTAGCTCAGGAGGCTGAGACAGGAGGATCGCGAGTTCAAAGCCAGTCTCAGCAATGGTGAGGCACTAAGCAACTCAGTGAGACCCTGTCTCTAAATAAAATACAAAATAGGGCTGGGGATGTGGATCAGTGGTCGAGTGCCCCTGAGTTCAATCCCCAGTACCCCCTCCTCACAACAAAAGTTCAAAGCCAGCCTCAACAATTTAGTGAGACCCTGTCTTAAGATAAAATATAAAAGAGGGTGGTTAAAGATAAAAATAAACATAAATAAAAATCTTTTTTTGTTTTGTTTTGGTATTGGTGGTTGAACCCAGTGGTGCTCTATCTCCAGTTCTTTTTATTTTTTATTTTGAGACAGGATCTTACTAAGTCACCCAGACTGGCCTCAAACTTGGAATCCTCCTGTGCCTCAGCCTTCTGACTACCTGGGATTACTGTACATTGAAGTTTTAATACTTTTTTCCTGCCCTCCATGTTCCCTGGAGTGCCTGCTTACGTGCCTCTCAAGTGACTGAAATCCAGGGTGTGCCTTCCCATCTGTACCCTCTTTCCCCCATTTCTCATTCGTGAAATCAAATTGTTTCTTTTCTTTTTTTTTCTTTTGGTACTGGGGATTGAACTCAGGGCACTCACTGAGCCACATCCCCAGCCCTATTTTTGTATTTTATTTAGAGATAGGTTCTCACTGACTTGCTTAGTGCCTCGCCTTTGCTGAGGCTGGCTTTGAACTTGCGATCCTCCTGTCTCAGCTTGAGATTACAGGCATGCACCACCACACACAGGCCTCAAATTGTTTCTTAACTGTTCAGGTTCGGGACCCCTTTCTATTCTGTTGAAAGCTCTGTACTCTGACCACAGAAGTGCATATACATGTATATGTGGACTCCATCTAAGGAGTTCAGGAAAGAGGGACAGGAGGGGGGAAGGGAGAGCCTGGCTGGCCGGCAGGCCCGCATATCTGTGGAAGGGTGGGCATGAGAGCTGTCCTGTGGCTGAGCCAGCATGATGTGTGGAAGAGCTAAGACACACAAAGACCCATGTATGGAGGGCCAGGAAGGCTGGGGTAGAGAGACAGGTGGGAAGGAGCCATTTGGGGACTCCAGGGGGTGTGGGAGCCTGCCCCGTGCCTCTGCAGATGGTAGGCATCTCTGCAGGGTGCTGGTTGTTTCCCAGCCTTGACCCAGAATCAGTACTGGGAGTGGGTCCAGCAAGCTCATGGGGCTGTCCCGCAGATTTTCAGGCACATCCTGCAACGGGAGTTCTCAGGACTGTGCCAGCCCCTTTCTCGAAAGTTCACCGAGTGGTGCTATGGGCCTGTTCGGGTGTCACTGTATGACCTGGCCTCTGTGGACAGCTGGGAGGAGAACTCAGTGCTGGAGATCATTGCCTTTCACTGCAAAAGCCCGGTGAGCCTATGGGGATGTGGGGGTGCCTTTTAAAGGGCCTGGCTCAAATCAGGGTTGCCTCGTGGACCACACTTGCCCCATTCTTGTGCAAGTGGGGTTATAGCTGCATACCCTGACTCTGGCTGCCAGGTCCGCACTAATTCCACACTTTAAATCCTACCCAACCCGGGGATCATGCCAAGGTCTTCTAGAGGCAACTATTGAGGTCTCTCTTATTGACGAGCACTTGCTATGGACGGAGGATCAGGAGGGCTGGGGTGGAGGCAGGTGGGGAGGGAAGATTTGGGACTCCCAGGTGGTGTGGGACCCCACCTCTACCCCTACTCCTCTCCATTTCCCTTGGCCCTTACAGGTAGCCTGACATGAAGTGGTCGCTCTGTCTATACCTGCTATCTATCCATCCTCTGTCTCTACCTAAACATGGCTCTCCCCATCCCACCCCAGCACCGACACCGCATGGTGGTTTTGGAACCACTGAACAAACTGCTGCAGGCGAAATGGGATATGCTCATCCCCCGGTTCTTTTTCAACTTCCTGAGTTACCTGATCTACATGTTGGTCTTCACTGCTGTGGCTTACCACCAGCCTGCTCTGGAGAAGGCAAGGGCAAGGAGGGAAATATTCTGGGGGAAGCCTACTTGAAGCAACCCTGGAAGAAAATGGGCAGGGACCCCCCCCATCCTACAAGGGATAACTCTGAGGCTTAGGTGGCTTGAGGGATATACCCAAGGTCTATGGAGGCCAGCCTCTTAGAACTAACAACAATAATAGTAGTGAATACTGATCCAGTGCTCACCATATGTGCAACTGTATTCTAAGTGACTGACATGTGTTAAAAAGTGAATGCTCACAACATCTCTCAGGGATAACTAATTATTATCATCCTCATTTGGGGAAAGGGAGACACAGAGAGGTTAAGTAATTTTCCCAAGTTCACCCAGACTGTAAGGGGTGGAGACAGGATTTGAAACCAGACATTCTGGTTCCAAACCCCACATTTACAACCACTATATAACGTGCCTCTCAAGTGACTGGAATCCAGGGGTGCTTGGTTGGAGCCCACGTTCCCTCTCTGTAGTGGAGTCTCAGCATGGTCTGTCAGCTATTAGGGGGAGGATCCAGGTCCCAGGTCCTATCAGCATGTGTGTATCTTTAGCAGGCCTTCCTCCCGCTGAAAGCGACAGGTGGAAACTCGATGCTGCTTCTGGGCCACATCTTGATCCTGCTTGGGGGAATCTACCTCCTCTTGGGCCAGGTAAGGGCTTCCGCCCATCTCCCCACCCTACATCCCTTCCATATCCAGTCCTATTCAGACCAGCCAGCCCTACCCCAGTTGAGGGCCACAGGTGCTGGTTTTGTCTTCTGGGGCCTTGGTACTCATCCTGCCATGCTTTTTGGGATACCTGAGGGATAGCAGATGGCTTCTCTGATTTCTTGGTAGTGAAGGCTCTGCTCCCCTGGGAATCAAACTGAAAGCCTTTGTCTCTGGGTCCCTTAGCTGGCTGGGGTGGGCCTTGCTTGGGGAGCACAGAAGGCCGATGGCAGGTGGAGCTTAGCCCATCTTCTGCAGGAGGACATCTTTAGTCAGAAATGCTTCAAGCTGGGGCTGGGGCTGTGGTTCAAGTGGTAGCGCGCTCGCCTGGCATGTGTGCGGCCAGGGTTCGATCCTCAGCACCTCATACAAACAAAGATGTTGTGTCTGCCGAAAACTAAAATGTAAATAAAACACTAAAAGAAAAAGAAATGCTTCAAGCTTTTCAGGAGTCAGGATGAAGCCCAGACATGGGACCTTCTCAGAGTCAGTAGGATGCAGGCACCAAACCCAGGTTGGCTGGAGTACAGGGTGCGCCCCAGGAGGCTAGGGGTGGGAGAAGGAGCTCTCCTTAGGTCCACTTGGGTTCTTCATCTAGATCCACAAGCATCAGGAGGCCTATAGAATTGTCTGGTATTTACAGGTGGCTGCTCTTCTTTTTCTTCTTCTTTGTTTTTGTTTTTGGTGCTATTGGGGATTGAATCCAGGCGTGCTCTATGACTGAACCATATCCCCAGCCCTTTTTATTTTTTGAGACGGAGTCACGCTAGTTGCTGAGGCTGGCCTTAAACTTGTGATCCTCCTGCCTCAGCCTTTCAAGTACCCAGAATTACAAGCATGTACCACTGTGTCCAGATAGCTGTTCATTTATATATTTGCACAGGGGGTTTAATCCAGGAGTACTTAACCACTCAGCCACATCCATAGCCCTTTTTATTTTTATTTTGAGACAGAGTCTTGCTAAATTGCTGAGGCTGGCTTCCAATTTACGATCCTCCTGCCTCAGCCTCAAAAGTCACTGGGATTATACGTGTGTGTCACTGTGCCCGACTATTTATATTTTTGGAAATGGGGGTCTCATTAAGTTGCCCAAGGCTGACCTTAAACTCCTGGGCTCAAACAATGCTCCTGCCTCAGCCTCCTGAGTACCCATAGTTGTGCAATACCATGCTTAGCTAAGGCTGTTCTTTTTAGTAAGAAGGTTGAAAGCTATCTAGGTTTTCAGGATTCACGAATCCCTTCCAAGTCAAAGCTACTGCCTTCACCACTAAGGTGGGCTGGTCAGGCTCCCACAACAGTGTGCATGGCACAAATAGGGAGCTGGGATCCAGGCCCTGAGGGGCAGCCAGACTGTGTGCTTGGAGAGTAACTTTCACACCCCTCTGTCTTTTTCCATAGCTGTGGTACTTCTGGCGCCGACGACTGTTCATCTGGATCTCCTTTGTGGACAGTTACTTTGAAATTCTCTTGTATGTGGTGTCTCCCTCTCCCCTGTTCCCCTACCTCCCTGGTCTCTGAGTCTGGGAGAGGCTGTTGTGGCAGAAGGTACCAGGCTGGGCCCAGGAAGTTCCTAACATGAGGTAGACTTGGTAGTCCTGATTGCCACCCAGTTAGGGCTCCTTTGTGCTCCTCTCCTTGTAGATGATGACTGTGATTGTTACCTTTACTGAAACCGTGGATCCCCGCCCCCTACTCTTTCCTTGTAGTGTCTCACTTAATCCTCAAAGACACTCTATGAGTAGGTGCCATTGTTATTATGCGCATCTTACAGGGGAAGGAACTGAAGCCCACAGAGGCTAAATAACTTGCCTAAGAGGGAGGTCAGGTCCTGTTGGGTCTGGTTGCAGATGGATGGCATCCTGTGGTGGAAGAGGCAGTAGTGGTCAGTGCTGGCCAGCGGGAGTTGGGAGAATATTGCCAGATGGCTGGGAAGGTAACCCAGATCTTGCCCCCCTATAGTCTGCTCCAGGCTCTGCTCACGGTACTGTCCCAGGTGCTGTGTTTCATGGCCATCGAGTGGTACCTGCCCCTACTTGTGTCCTCGCTGGTTCTGGGCTGGCTGAACCTGCTTTACTATACACGTGGCTTCCAGCACACAGGCATCTACAGCGTCATGATCCAGAAGGTGAGAGAAAGGTAACCCAGGGGCAGCCAGACTGGACAAAGCTGGCCATCACAGCCCAGTGGGACTCCCATTGTCCCCCAGCATCCAGAAGCCTTCCTCCACAGATAACCTGGGCAGAAAAGGGCATGAGTGTGTCTGCTGTGAGTTGTTCACTCAGTCACTCTTTGAATGTCACCTTAAGCAAGGGCATGTTTGCACACACCTGCTCCAGTCTGCATACATAGACATGCACACACGTGTGCTTAGAGGTATTACACATGGGCACGTGTATCCTTCTTCATGAAGGAACAGAGAATAGGCACAGACCCTCATCTGTGTTCTGTGCCCTGTGACATGGGGGCATCTGCATGTGTCTGTGTCCATCCATTTATTCCTCAAACATTTAGGGAGTGTTTGCTATAGGCCAGGCCCTGCTCTACATGTTGAGAATATTCAGGGAACAGAACAGACAAGTTGTTACTCTCCTGAAGCTGACAGTCCAGTGTGGAAAATGAAAACACTAAGAAAATTACCACAACTGAGAACGCCACCAACTGCTAGATTTTGTGAAGGAAATACACGGAGGACACTGTGACAGAATGGGGAACAGAGGATACTTGAGAGAGTGATGGCTTCTCCCAAGAGGTGATGGTCAAGTGGAGACCTGGAAGTTTGATTCAGCCACCAGTGTTGAAGAGGAAGGATCCTAACAACAAAGGAAAAGGGGATGAACAAATAGAGAGAGCTTGAGACAGAGCCAAGAGGCAGGAGAATGAGGCAGAGCAGAGGAGGCAGGGAGGGGGCCGGGGGCTTTGTTCAGGGGGAGGAATCTGAAGGTTCCTAGAGTTTTTTTTTTAAACAAAAACAAACGAACAACAACAACAAAACTTTATATAAAGTAGAGGGCTGTGGCTGTGGCTCAATGGCAGAGCGATTGCCTGGCATGTGTGAGGAACTAGGTTCAGTCCTCAGCACCACATAAAGATGAATAAACAAAATAAAGGTATTGTATCCATCTACAATAAAATACTTTAAAAAACCTTATAAAATAGACCCAACATAAAGTTTACCATTTTAACTTTTTTTTTGGTGGATGGAATGTACGGCCTTGTACACACTAGATAGGCACTCTACCATTGAGCCACATCCCTATCCCTTTTCATTTTATTTTATATTGAGGGAGGGTTTTACTAAGTTGCTGAAGGTCTTACTAATTTGCTCACACTGGTCTTGAACTTATGATCTCCTGCCTCATCTTCTCAACCTCATACATCACACCTGGCTCATTTTAACTTTTTTTTTTTTTTTTAATGTACCAAGGATTGAATCCAGGGGCACTTAACCACTGAATCACATCCCCAGCCCTTTTTATTTTAATTTTTATTTTGAGACAGGGCCTCACTAAATTGCTTAGGGCCTCGATAGGTTGCTGAGGCTAACTTTGAACTTGTGATTCTCCTGCCTCAGCCTCCTGAGTCGCTGGGATTACAGGTGTGAACCATTGCATTTGGCTCATTTTAACCTTTTTTTAAAAAAAATATTTATTTTTTGGCGTAGGTGGACACAACACAATGCCTTTATTTTTATGTGGTGCTGAGGATTGAACCTGGGTCCCGCCCGTGCTAGGCAAGCGCTCTGTCACTGAGCCACAATCCCAGCTCTCATTTTAACCATTTTTTAAAAAATATTTTTAGTGAAATTTATTTATTTATTTATTTGTTTATTTATTTGTATGTGCTGAGGATCAAACTCAGTGCCTCACATATGCTAGACAAGCACTCTACCACTGAGCCACAATCCCAGCCCCTCATTTTAACCATTATCGTTATTATTATTTTAGTTGTAAATGAACACAATACCTTTATTTTGTTTTTATTTTTTAAATTTTATTTATTTATTCATTTAGTTGTAGATGGACACAATAGCTTTATGTATTTATTTTTATGTGGTGCTAAGGATCAAACCTGGAGCCTCACACGTCTAGGCAAGTGCTCTATCACTGAGCCACAGCCCTAGCCTCTCATATGATAATTCGGTTTAATTTTTTGCTGCTGAAGGATTTTTGGTAGGAAAATGATTCAATCTGAGGCAGATGTTTAAAAGACCCCTCTGCTCAGTGTGGCTGCACAGGGCCTGTGTATGTACTTGTGTGTGTGTGTGTGTGTGTGTGTGTGTGTGTGTGTTATACATGGGGACCATGTTTGTGGGGTCTGGGATCATATGTAGTGAGTGGCCCAGCTACCACTCACCTCCTGACTTGTGTGTTCCAGGTCATCCTGAGGGACCTACTCCGCTTCCTTCTGGTCTACTTGGTCTTCCTTTTCGGCTTTGCTGTAGGTAAAGGCCCTTTCTGGTCCCCACCTCTTCCCCACCCTCCCTGCACACATTTAGACCTGCAGCTGGCTGGTCTCAGGCTGAGGATCCCTCTCCCACCCTCCCACAGCCCTGGTGAGCCTAAGCCGCGAGGCCCGGGACTCTGGAACCCCTGCAGGAAACAATGCCACCGAGGTAGCTCAGCCTGGGACAGAGCAGGAGAATGAGGCAACACCATACAGGGGCATCCTGGATGCCTCCTTGGAGCTCTTCAAGTTCACCATTGGCATGGGCGAGCTGGCTTTCCAGGAACAGCTGCGCTTCCGTGGGGTGGTCCTGCTGCTGCTGCTGGCCTACGTGCTGCTCACCTACGTCCTTCTTCTCAACATGCTCATTGCTCTCATGAGCGAGACCGTCAACAACGTTGCCACGGATAGCTGGAGCATTTGGAAGCTGCAGGTGCCACTCCCCCCTCTGAGTTCTGTGTTCTTGCTGAGGGGTGCCCAGGACCCTGCTGAGCTTGGTCCATCCCACTGGAGACTGTCCAGGGCTCTGCACCTAACTGAGTGGGCTGAGCTCAGCAGGACCAACTTCTGGACTCCCTCATTTATTCCTTCCTGAGGAGGGTTGTTGTAAGGATAGGATAAGCTCAGAGATAAAAAGTGCTCAGGACAGTGCCTAGTGGGTGGTCAATGTAGTCATTATTTTCATTATTATTATCTAGTATTTATTTTCTTTTTCTCTTTTTTGGCTCTGAGAATTGAACCCAGGAACGCTTTACCATAAACTATATCCTTGATCTTTTTTTTTTTTTAATCTTTTTAAAAATCTCTTTGCTTTATTTATTTATTTATTTTTAATGTGGTGCTGAGGATCAAACCCAGTGCCTCATGCATGCGAGGCAAGCACTCGGCCACTGAGACTCCTCT